TGTATGTAACAAGTGATATCATTATAGATTCTGATGAGAGTAAGCTAGATTGCCCACTTTTTGTCTTTGCAGAAAAATTATTTTTGTAACTAGAATTGTTGTAGCATCATTTTTTGGAGGAGTTGTCAGGTGTTAGCTCAATTTCTTCTATTTGTTCTTGGTTTACAGTATTTTGGTGTTGAGTTAGTGTTTTCTCCATGTTTTTAGTTAGTGTAAAATGAGATAAGACTGAGTCTAAAGAGGATTGGAACTTGTTGTTTAGTGTATTTTTGTTCGTATTTAGTGAGTTTATAGTACTGTCATTAGATAGTAAAGGTATATGATGTTGTAGCTTTCGTTTGTGACCTATTTTGTTATTTATTTAATTATTTAAAGAAGTTTTTATAAGGTTTTATTATTTTTTACTCTGTTCTGTAATATGGTTTTAGGATCTATGGGAAAGAGATCTTCCAATATTGTTATTATATAAAAATATCTGTAATTAAATGTTTTGCATTTATAGAATTAAAAAATATAAATATTATAGAAGGAATTAAAAATAAAAAGGTAACTTTTCTATAGTTTTTACTATTACATGTAGATCTTAAAAAATTTTACTATTAGATCTGTATAGGTTAATGAACAGAGTATTTAAATAAGTAACTCACAGATAGGTTACAGATATGATAGCATAATGTAGAACCAATCAAGTAGTCTAACACCTGTGCAGCAGACTACTTAAAATAGATAATGACTAAAGTTGTATGTATAGCTTATTATATACTTTTCATGTAATTACAAACAGTAGAGATTATCAATATATAGTTCTGTTTGCAACACTAATAAAATTCCTTTGACAATATAAGCCATCTTTAACAACAAAAAAAAAATTTTACTTTAAAAAAATTAATAATTATCACTATATCACCTGTATTATGTTTGTAATTAGACTTATACTCAAAATTTGATTACATTCTTGATGCACTTTTAGTAAAATATTTTTAAACTTTGAGCAAAGATATCTCAATAACTACTTGATCAAATTTGATAAATTTTTTTTTGTTTCAATTCTATGGTTATATGGAATTTACATAAAAAAATTCATTGATTTTGATTAGAGTAGTTGAGATATCTTTGCTTAAAGTTAGTAAACAAATTCAAAATGTCTATTAAAATAAATGTGCCAAATTTTTTCTAAAACTTTGAACAAAGATATCTCAATAACTACTTGACCAAATTCGATAAATTTTTTTTGGTATAATTCTACGAATATATAGAATTCAAATAAAAAAAATTTAATCGATTTTGGTCAGGCAGTTGTTGAGATATCTTTGCTCAAAGTTAGTAAACAAATTCAAAATATCAATTCGTGCAAAATTTTTTATAAAACTTTGAGCGAAAATATCTCAACAACCGCTTAATCAAAATCGATGAATTTTTTTTATTTTATTTGAATTCTATATATTTGTAGAATTAAAATTAAAAAAATTCATCAAATTTGGTCTAGTAGTTATTGAGATATCTCTCAAAGTTTTAGAAAAAATTTGGCGCACTTAATAGACGTTTTGAATTTACTATGAGTTCTCTCAAAGTTTTAGAAAAAATTTGGCGCACTAAATAGACGTTTTGAATTTACTAACTTTGAGTGAAGATATCTCAACAACCACCCGATCAAAATCGATGAATTTTTTTAATTTGAATTCCATATATCCATATAATTAAAATAAAAAAAAAAATCTTCGAATTTGGTCAAGTAGTTATTGAGATATATTCACTCAAAGTTCAAAAATATTTTACTAAAAGTGCATTTGAGTACATTGTAGATCTATCAAAAATGAAACTTTGCGCCCGTAGACTTTCCGCTTTTAAAAAGCATAATAGTCACGTGTGATGTGATTGGTGAAAGGGTTTGATAAGTGGTAAACATTGGGCAGGAAGACAATTCTGAAAACTTCCTATGTAGAAAATGAACGAACGTAAAAGACAAACAAGGGTCGAGCAAAAAATCCGAAGGATATAACTATAATATAATTACATAATTGACATAAAAACGCATAGGGATGTTACCGTATAGTGCCGAAATTAAACCCTCTTTTTTGTGTTTATTTTCGGATATAATTTTAAAAGGTAATAATATAGGATTTCTGTATAAGTAAACCTATTTTCTCCTTCTAAATAAAGTTATTCTCCAGGTCAATACAATTCTAATTGTGGTAAATTAATCAAAATTGGACCAGTAGAACTTTCGCAATTGTACTTCAGAGTTCGGGTGATGTTTGTTTGCATACATTTAAGCTACGCAAAGTCGATTTTTCGTTTTGCAGGTTCATTCATTAAATTAAACAATTAATCGTATAAATGAAAAAAAAAGCAATTAAGCGAATACTTTAATGTCAATTAAAATCTTTAACCGTTTAACCGTATAAAATAAATAAATAGTTAAATGCGGTTAAACGAATAACGGTTCCAATCCCTATATTCATGCTATTACTATGCTATTAAAAAAAACATCTATTTTTTTTAACTTCTGATAAATAAACGTCAACGATTAACTTTCAATTTAAAAAAAAAAATTAAAAAAGAAAACATCAGAAATTTTATAGTTTTTTAAAAACGCCATATTTACTGTATTGACATTTTTTTATATTTTTTGTTAAAAAAAAAAAAAAAAATGTAATTATTTTATTTAAAGTTTAATTGAAGTTTTTTGCTCGTAAGATTGATTTCGATGACTTTGGGAGTGACATTGCAAAGAATTTTCGGTATTATCGATTAAAAAATTCAATCCTTATTTAAGAATATATATATATAGCCACAGTACATCATCATCAGGGTCGTTTATGTTACTGTAGTACCATCTCATGACCAGCCTTCTGACTTCGATGTAGCAGTTGAATCGTGTTTTTATCACTCTCTTTTAAAATTTATAATAATTATTTTCAGAGATAAGAAAGATACAGTAAAAATAAAAATAAACAGAGAAGGACGTTCACATGAGAGCCTGTGGCCACGATGCACTTCCAGTTCTCTAGCATCATACCCTACTTATCCCGTTGAGAGCTTTTAGCTCTTGCACTATGCTCACCATATCGACTCCAATTGGTGGCCCCAGGCAGGCGATAACGAAACGTGCAATGATCTTGGGAAAGATCGTGCGCTATGTGTACCCCCCTGATAGCACACCAATCAATAACATGTGGAATGTTGCATAATGCTCACCACAATCTCTCGGTAGGACTCCTCTCGTCAGGATTTCAAAAATGCTAACCTTTAAATTTACACTATCACGAGCAGAAAATCGTGACCAAGCAATGGGCGAAACGTAGTACGAATTCCGATGAGGACCCAAGACCTGATTATATTATACTAAAACATAATCGCCTCCTTTTTTATTTGGTTATTCATTATATAGCGAAATCAAAATAAAAAGATAAAATATTCACTAATCATCAAAATTGGTAAACATAAGCATTTGTTAATTATCAGAAATCAGGAAGATTCTATGTAATTTAGCCAAGTTGAAAAAAGCAAACGTGAGATATTTACCATCCCGAATAAAAAAATCGGATGAGATAAATTCTAAAGAATTGGGATCGAGAAGGATGAATATAACGAATTAAGCTTGAAAAGAACGAACATAAGCCAATCGTTCACTATCGAAGATCGACTGAAATGGGTCACAAGCTGGATATAAATATCGAAATGGGTTTGAAGCCTAGAGAAATTATAAATAACCTGGAAAGCAAAGAATAATCGCAGAACCGTGAATACACTATACCGATAATGAAATGTAAAGGAAAACAATAAAATCGTACTAAGAACTATCAAACTCGCATCTAAAAAAAATCTAAAATGAACTCTGTCACATATATTTAATATAACTATGGTCATGATTGAAACTGTGAAAAAAAAAACCTTCCCGATACTTATCTTTGCGAAAGAAAAGAAGAGAGTTAAAAAAAATCATTAGTAAGTAAAACGACGATACTTCAAAACAGAAAAACAAAAGTAAAACTTACCCGTAAAAGGAGAGAACCAGTTGAATGGCGATAATGGAATTGTTCAAATGAAACTTAATAAATGAAAAAATGTAAAATCAAACTAACGCGAATCAAAAATCCAAAGTCTTTAAATAAAATTAAGATACTTGTAAATTATTTAAAATTATAAAATAAATAATAATAAAAAGAATTACTCGCCGAATCATATACCACACCTCTAGTAGAGAGAGCCAGCCGTTTAGCCTGTCACATCACTATATTACTTTCGTAACCTTCAGTTTTTCTTCACGTATTTTTATCAAAATTTCGATGTAGTAGTTTTCATTTTCGTTATTCTATATCCTAAATTTTATAAAAATTATTTTCCAAAGATGAGAAGATACAGTATAGATAAAATAAACAGAGAAGAACGTTTACAGGAAAGTTTGTGGCCACGATGCGCTTCCGGTTCTCTGGCATTATACCCGTACTTATCCCGTTGAGAGCTTTTAGCTCTTGCACTATGCTCACCACATCGACTCCAATTGATGGCCCCAGACAGGCGATAACGAGACGTGCAATAATCTTGAAAAAGATCGTGCGCTATGCGTACCCCCCTGATTGCACACCAATTAATGACATGTGGAATGTTGCATAATGCTCACCACAATCTCTCGGTGGAACTCCTCTCGTTAGAATTTTAAAATACTAACCTTAAATTTACACCATATCTCTTCTATTTTCTTCATGCTTTTTATCGAAACTTCGGTAAATTACGAAAAAAATCGAAAGATGTGATAAATTCTAAGGGATTGGGATCGAGAATGATTAATATAAGAGAATTGGAGTCAAAAGAGACGAAAAAGAGGCGTTTGACTAGTATATAGAACTTGTTGAAATGGTAAGTATGGAGAACGGCGTAATTATTTCTGGTAAAAAAAAAAAAAAAAGTATTTAACTAGTAGGCATAATGAACGAAGGATAAGGTTGAAAACGATTGTGACAATAGTGTTAAGTTCAGTGATGACATTGTAAGTGAAAATGGATAACAGCGGTAAAAAAACCAGAGATAAAATGAACGATAATGGAAGCGAATTGACCAGTAAAAGACACATTATTAACACAGATAATATGATGCAATTAACAAAGTTGAGAGAATAAACTTTACCTGCAGTTGAAATTAAAAGAGATGAATCTTTTGAGAAAAATAGTAGAGTCGAAGCTGATAAAGGCCGAAGTATTGCGAAGGTCAGAATGGGATTTTAGCTCAATTGGCGATATAATTGTGGAACAAAAAATGAAACATAAAAATAACAAATGCATCAAACTAAAAATTAGTAAAATAACGACTTATCGATAAACGAAATAATACTGCCTTGAAGAGATAGCCCTGGTTGTTGAAAACGAAGATAATGACGAAAAGATCGTCATTGGAGAAGATCGTAGAGCAGAATTAAAAAGAATAAATACCCAGAGAACGAACCCAATGCAACGAACAGAAGACTATCAAAGATCGACTGAAATATATATAAATATCGAAATTGATTTGAGATCGAAACGAATAAAAGACCCGATAGAAAAGAAACCTAGATCGTGCATGCGAAGACTAGATAAAAAGAGTAGAGAAATTAAGAATAACCTGAAAGCAAATAAAACAGCAGAACCGTAAACACACTTTACCGAAAATGAAATGTAAAGGAAAGCATTGAAATCTGCACTAAGAACCATCAAACTCGTACCTAAAAATCTAAAAAAGAAATTTTGGTCACATACATTTAATATAACTGGCCCTGATTGAAATTAAAAAATAAATAATAAAAAATAAAAATACACTAAACAACAAGCTCTGGTTCTCTTTGAACTCAGTCTTACCTCACTCTACACTAACTAAAAATATGAAGAAAACACGAACTCAACACCAAAATACTATAAACCAAGAACAAATAGAAGAAATTGAGCTAACATCTGACAACTCCTCCAAAAAATGACACTACAACAACTCTAGTAACAAAAATAATCTTCCTGCAAAGACAAAAAGTAGACAATCTAGCTTACTCCCATCAGAATCTACAATGACATTACTTGTTACATACAACAATACAACAACAACTGATCCTAGCAACAACAACAACAATACAGAAACTGTGAGAACTTCTAACACAACAAATGACCAAATCAGGGAATACAACAACAAATCTAATATAGAAACAAACTCGGATGCAACAGATGATACAACTTATATAGCTTCTAAAAATAGAAGTGACCCTACTCAATCTACTAGTTCTAATAATAATCACCAATTATATAGTCAAACACTTAAAACTAACCTACAACCAGATCTATTCCTAACTGATAATGACCTGCTAAATACCTATAAAACTGACTGGACTCGACATATCACTCAAGCACTAGAACACAAATTACAAAACAAGTTCGATAATGAACTATGGCCAAAAGACAAAATCATAGAAGCCTTCAAAGACTTAACCCTAATGCGAGAATTCATTCAACACAAATTGTTAATGCTACCTACTGAATATGCTATCCCCAATGCAATATCACTAAAATTCTTTTATAAAGATCTGGCTTTTTTTAAGTCCTTTACCAACAATAAATACATGACACCTGCACATCAAACTGAATACTCCAATTTACTTACTCAAGCTATTGATACATACAAATCTAAAAACAATATAATCCTAACAAACAAAGCAACTAAAGATACAATTCAATCTAAGCTTAGACAAAAAATTGCAATTGACTACCTTACTAACCTTAACTTCAGATACATGGAACCTTATCATATATCTCAAATAATCAAATACTGTAGAAACTTTGCGAAAGCAAAACTTATTAAAAACCCCAAGGTAATACAAGATATTACAAACCAGGCCTATGATTCTCTCAAAAAGATACTACCAGAAACACTACAAAAAATTGATACTGAAACTACAGAAATACTACTATTCAACCTTCCTATTACTAAACGATCACAAATAGAAGTAATTGTTAAAGCACTACGACTAATCTACAAATTTAATACTCTACCAGAATTATACTTTACTAAACTACCTAAACTACCAAAATACCCTGATCAGATAATGGAGGAAAAACTTAAAAACCTATTTCCTATCACCAATTCTAGCTAACTATCATAACTTGGCACATATAAACAGAAACTAGCAGACTACCACGATCTTGAAAGAATTCCTTCAAGCTACTTTAATCTACTACTACCAAAGCAATCCCTTCTAACAACTTATCAAAAACTCAATAGCAGTGTTCAACATCTTTTCCTAATAGATCTTAATAGTAGCAATATTTCATTACAACAAATAGTTTCTTTGCTCAGAGAATACTACAAATTCAAAGCAATTCTTAACGATTTTTTCAAACAGAAACCCATATTACCAAAACAATCCCAAGATATAAAAATCAAAACAGAATATATATATCTGATTACAGATGATAATATAGCAAAAGAATTCTTAATAGCTGCTAGCTCCAAATATAAGATAACCTTTTCTATCAGTTCAGAGATCATGACTACAAATCCTACTAATAAACCTAGACTTTTATCTAACCCAGATAAAATTGAAGACTTCAACCTAACAATTCCTATATCATCAACATGCCAACTCATTGATATAGCAAGAATGCTCAGACCTTATTACTACTTTAACAAAATCTCTAATACTTGGATCAAAATAAACCAAAACATAAAAGAAGATTCCCAAACTACACTAGCTTCTGACTAAGTTACCAAACCTACATACCAGCTATACTGGTTCAACTCCAAGAAGTACTAGAAAAAACTAAAGAGAAAATATATATTACACTACCTATTGAGAAACAAGAAGATATTCTACCTATACTTGCAACACTAAGACAACACTTCGAAATAGCAAAAATTCCAGAATACTTACTTAACTTACCTTTATTCCCAGAACCAACATGGGATATATTTAACTAATTCATATCATAACAAGTAGATACCAAAGAAAAGAAAAAAACCAAACACATAATTTAACATCTACTTATATCTCAACAAACAATGAATTTAATATACTAACAATAGCAACTCATAATGTACAAGGAATTAATGATCCTCTAAAATTTCAAACTTGAATAGAATACTGTAACGAAAAGAACTATAACATAATTAGCATAACAGAGACAAAGATCACTGATTCCAAATTTAACAAGCTACAATTTACTAACCCTTATTACTATATCTACACATTAAACTGCAACAAAACAATAGCAAAAAAACAAGAATTAAGTATAGAAACTGCAATAGCAATCTCTAAACCTCTCCAACTATATATTCACAATATCCAAACTGAACTGAATACTACGATCCTAATTGACTTTTTCTTCCTACAAAATCAAAGACTTCGAATAATCTCAGTTTATCTCCTATCAAACAATACTTCATTAAATCTCCAAACCCAACAAAAGATTACTAATTGGATCAGTTATTCAAGCATATACAACTTTGAGACTATTATTCTTGGAGATTTTAATTCAAATGTAAACAAGCATAACAAACTCACCTTACAACTATTCAATACAATGAACACAAAGAATATGAAAAGTCTTCTAAAATACTTTAATATAAGCTCTCCTACATGGTCAAGATCCTCTTCAAATAGCCTAATTGATGATATATAGATTTTATCAACTTTAATATCTACAATATCTACACTAGAATTAACTACTACTGAATTGATCACAAACATTAATCACAAAATTATCTAAATTGAATAGCACCCTGAAATACATATCCAAAAATATAGAACAAAGAAAAACAAATGACATATCTTCTCATATAACAAAATAACAACAGATACTTGAATTGATTTCTTACAAGATATAAACAAATTCCTCAAGTCACATAAAGAAGAATTAAATCCAGATATCAAAACAGACATACAACTCAATAAATACTGGTATCTACTCAACCAAGCAATCAAACAAGCTACTAACAACAATATTCCTCAAACCAAAGTTGCACCCAAAACTCACTATGCTTTCATGAGGAAGGCAACACATTTACACACAGCCTTACAAAAAATCAACAAAGTGATTAGAACCCTTCAACATATACCAAATCTAAATTCTACTCAACTTACATTAATTAATACAAATATTCGTGATATAAACAAATATGCTAATCTATCGATCTCTACAGTAACTAGAAATCTAGCTACAAATGAAGTATCTCTATTCTTCCTCTCAACACTAAAGCAAACACAGAAAACTATATACCAAGCCAGAAAATTAGAGAACAACATCGCACATACACAAAAAATCAATAAGCATATACTCAACTGATAAAACAACTTCTCCACAAATACAACAAAAATGATCAATAGTGTCATTCAAAGATATATAGACCTAGTAATCCTACACAATATTACTAAACCTAATAAAATTATTACAGAACCAAATGAAATAAAAGAAGAAATCAGAAAACACTTCGAAAGCTAGACCAAATCTAATACACCAAACTACGATCACTGGTCTGCATGGGAAAAAGACTACTAACTACAAAACTTAATTAATACATCATAGTATAATGAACTATCAAACCCTATAACCCTGCAAGAACTCCAAGACTGCATAAAAGAATCATCCCTTAGAAAAGCTACTGGTTCTCAACAGATATCAAATGAAATACTAAAACATCTTGATGATACTACAAAAATACTACTACTTAGAATTCTAAATATATGCCTAAGTTTACAGAAAATCTCCAAGATGTGGAAGAAAAGCAACATATATCCAATCTCGAAAAAGAAAAACTTCAATAGCCAACTTAATACTACCAGACTTATTTCACTCAAAGAACATATAAAAAAAATCTTTACAAAGATCATCATCAAAAGATTAAACTTTGTACTCAGCACATACACTGGTCAAAATTAAAAATATTATCCAAATATCTGTATATAATCGGAAAGGGTGATAGCAGGCCATATGATGAAGACTATAATCAGATTTTTTATAATGATAATAATAGGCCGATAGGCTAAAGATTTTGACGAAATATGTCAAATATCGGATTATAGCCAGATTAAAACACTTAAATATCGGGTATAAGATTATTATAAGATTTTGTAGCGATATGCTATTAGTAAGTTTAAAGATATACTAAGATTAGATAAATTAT